AACAATAACAAATATATATATATAATTTTTTTTTTTTATATACCCCACAAATATATGTTTGGAAAAAAGTATTTATACATTTACCTTTCCTGCCAACACAACTATGAATGTGGTGGAGCATACAGTGGACAAAATGATAAAAAAATCTTCCTAGATTTTATCAAATATCTTAAGGCAAAGAGTTGATTAACCTGGGGCCTCAGAACTATATTCTCAGGGGACACCATGATCAACTGGCATAACATAGTCCACAAAGCCAATGTTCTACATCCTGCTTGGGTGAGTAACGTCTGGGATCTTGAAGGATCATGAGCAGCCATCTAAGGTACAGCTATTGGTCTCCCCATGTGCAGAAGAAAGAAGAGTGATGAAAATTGAAGAGGCTTGGAATCAATTAGTCCAATGGAACATGTGAACACCAGTTTCCATGACTCTGAGACCAGAAGAACTAGATGTTGCCTGAAAGGATCACATTAGAGGATCCCTGATAGAGTGCGAGAAAATGTAGAACAAAACTCAATTACTTGGAGAACAAACAAGATGGTGGATTGGGTGGAAGTGCAGTAAGTAGCTCTGTCAGCAACAACACAGAATACCAGACCAAGCAGGCTCAGGGGATGGTACCAGAACTCTGAACCACATATAAAGGAATATTTACAAAGTTGGAAGGCCTACAGCCAGTGGAATTTATAGCAGAAGCAAGAAATCTTGTGCTTCCTAATCCAAGGCACTCAGCTGCTCCCTGAGCAGCCATCTTGGGTGAGACCAAGCAGGGAAGAGTCAGAGCACCCACGGATGCATAACAAAACTGAGGAGATAAAGGTGCCTCAGAAGATAGGCCTGGCCTTCTGAGTCTGAAAACCTTGTGGAGCGCAGTTCTATTCTGATACCAGACAAATTAGAAGAGCAGGATAATGCTCTGGATCGCAAGGTCAGTTTGAACAGAGGTTCAGACCCATCAGTCTCTCCTTGGAAACCCTATACAGACAGGGTCGCTATGGGTTAGAAAGGACTTTGATGACACTTAACAACAACAACAACAACAAGCAACACATCATGAGTAGCTTTCTTTCCAGAAAGAGTCGTAAAATACTAGAATCCAAATGCAAAAAAAATACATGGAAACCCTGCAGATTACAACAGTCCCATCTGTAAGTGATGGTGGGGACAGCACAGGCCGGGCAGCATCTCCTACCACTGTGCATGGGCACACCAGGCATCGAGGGCCAACTCCACACACAGCAGCAACACCAACTAAGATATGATGCCCCCTCCCCAACGACACATCCTCAACCAATTAAAGAAGAGCTGTCATTTTTGTGTCACCTCCTCTGAGTCACCGGGGCGAGGGGGAAGTGGGGGGGGCAATCTGCAGATGGAAACTTTGCCTATGAGCTAACGCTGTGGTCTGCTGGACTAAAACAAGCCCATTTGCAAATTGGCAGGTGGAAGTTGCCCTTTGAAGATAAAAAGATTTGCTTGAAGAACATTAAATACTAAATTTTTAGAAAGAAGTTCATAGGGTTTTGTGGCATGCAAAAAACGAGAAAGTAAAAAAACGTACGTTAATAAAAATGTTACTGATTTAACTTAGGGAAAAAAACAAAACAACTCAATTACTTCATATATATATATGGTGGTGGTGATGTTCCGTGGAGTCGGAACCGACTCATAGTGACCCTGTACAGAGTTTCCGAGGCTGTAAATTTTTATGGGAGCAGAAAGCCTCCTCTTTCTCCCACAGTACAGCTGGTAATTTCGAACTGCCAACTTTGAGGTTAGCAGCCCAATTCATAACCACTATGCTACCACAGCATATATATATATATATCTGTATTTACTGGTCAGAATGGGACTGGAGGAACCTGAGAGTTTGGTCCTTAACCACACTTCAGGTCTAGAAAGGAACTTACTCTGGTGCCCCAATTTACAGCCAAGCAGTAGATAAGTTCATAGGTGGGGTGGAAAAAGGCAACTAGCAAGGTATGCTCACCATGGAATGGCTAATCATTCAAAATCAAAAGGGCAACATTTTCCTAAGTACAAAGTTGAAAAGAGTTGGGAAGGTGGGTGGATTGCAAATAGGAACCAAGTATAACTGTGGTAACTTGGAGGGGATTGTAATCATTGAGATGAAACCAAGTATATAATTAATTGAATTTAAAGCTGATGATCTGGTCTGTAAACCTTCACTAAATTCACAGTAAAAGATTTTAAAAATTATAAATTAAAAAAAAAACAATAACAAACACTTGGCACAAATCACTTAAAAACTTTATACAATTGACACGTAATGTGGAACATTTGTGGGCATTTGGAAATATTAAAGTTCATTCTGTAGCTTTGGTGTAATCTTTATTGTTCATGAGATTGTTACTTCTAAGATTGTTTCTGAGATTGTTGAGTTTTTTTGTTATTATGTCGTTGTTGAAGCAAACAAAAAAGTAATTTCCTGCCTAGTAGAACCTAGAGTGTCACATCCAACGGCCTAAATGAAAGCAAATTCTTTTAAATTTCATTCAGCATAATAATTGAGATCATTATGTTCTCTTATAAATAGGCAAATTCTGGATTTTGGTTTTGGAACTAGTTGGCTATATAGCCCTAGGAATTCTCTAAACCAGAGATAAGAATTTAGCAGAAGTTCCTATGTTCACTGTTTGGACTGTATATTTTTCCATTAATAATAGAATGTTGTGAAGAAATCATGTGATAAGCCCATATTTATCAACATAATTCTCTATGGGTCAGCAAGTTGCCTGGTTGCTATTGATTTTTTTTTTTTTTTAAGTGCAATTGACTTAACTGGGTGGTAATCTCCTTATACATTTGTGTCTCCAGATTACCTATGACAATGAAGCTCACAGTGGCAAAATAAAAATATATTTTGCCAGTCATGCCAACATCGAAGAATGTAAAGTCTTGAACATATCTGGATCTAGTAAGTATCCTATGTGCTTGCCCATTGTGGGTTATGGATGGCTTTTAATATTTTATCTTGGGATCTTGTAAATTTAAAATGGTTTGAGTGGTAATAAGAATAAAGGGCACCAGAAACCCATTATTTTGCCCACTAGATTTTATAAGATATATTCCGAGGTTTGATTTTTTTTTGTTTAATTCAGCAGATGTTGATTATACTCCTCTTATGAAAGGCAGTATGGCTCAGTAATTAGGAGCACAGGCTCTGGAGCCCGATGGTGTGGGTTCAGATCCTGGCTGTTTACCATGCCCATGATCTTGAACAAGCTACTTAACTGTCTCAGCAAAATCAGAGTCACAGTGGTTTTTATCTCCATGGTTGATGCTGTACTTGGGTGCCTCTAATTTGACGCCCACTTATCATGATCCTATAGGACAGAGTAGATCCACCCAAGGGTTTCCAAGGCTTGAATCTTATGGGAGCAGATCTTCAGGGCTTTTGAGTGACTTGTAGATTGGAACCACCAGAGTTTTGGTAAGCATCCTAGCAATTAACTACAGCACCACCGGGGCTCCTCCTTTCAGAGTGTTGAGTATAATGAGTTAGTTTGTTAAGTAAAGTACAGAGAGCAAGGGTTGATGCTCAGTAATGTCTAGACACTATGGGAACAGAAAGAAAATGCCTTAGTGTGGGAGACGACTATGGGAACAGAAAGAAAATGCCTTAGTGTGGAAGACGGACATGAGGATAGGAGTAAGTGGTGGAGGTACAAACAGCTATGAGGCTATAGCAAAGATTAATATTGACTAGTTGGACTCCTGGTGTGGTGCTGTACGATAAGCACTGGACTGCTAACCACAAGATCGGTGGTTCAAACCCACATGCTATTCCTTGGAAACCCTATACAGGGTTGCTATGAGTCAGATGGCACTTCATAACAAGGTAGTGTGAGAAATAATTTCTAGAAATGATTTTTGCAAGCTTTGATCTGAGTCTCTCCTGACAATGGAAAGGGATTAGGGCCTTTAGCACTGAGAGAGTGACCTGTATCAACCCTCAGTCATTTAATCTGGAAAGAACCTCTTGATCCACACATGTAAAATGGATTACATGGGGCCTGTTCTGTTTTCTCTGAGGGATCTGTTGATAATGGATGATCAATATATATTTTTTAATTTGCAAATTTTGATTTAATCTGTTTTTAATCAGATAATTGTTGTTGAGTGCCTCCAAGTTGACTCGTATTCATAGTGATCCTGAATAAGGTTTCCGAGGAGCCACTGGTGCGTTTGAACCGCTGACCTGTGGTTCAAACCAACCTTCCTGTCCAGGGCATTATTCTGCCGTGCCACACCAAGATTCAATCAGATAATTAAAACAAAATAAAATGTAAAATGCTTTTACTTCTTATTTTAGATTTAAAAAAAGCAACAAGGTTTGATTTGTGGTCGGTTGCTTTGAAGTTATGTTCTGATGATTTTGAAGTTTTGGTTTTAGTAGTTTAATTAACTGACTTAAAACTTTGATGAGAATGCAGTATTAGTTTATGTTGAAAGGTGGTGCTGTCTCTCTTTCTCTCTCTCTCACACACACACACACATGTGCTCATTTTCCAAGTATAGTTTGCAGCCATTTGCTGTGGCAGACGCTGGCATAGAAATTAAGCTGGCACGATTTGATTCTTGAATTTCTGGTTTGGTTGTAATAATGTTATTGTAATACACAGAATGTGCTTTGTGTTCAAAGACTCTCAGGATCATGTGAAATGTAGTTTGGAATAGTCTTTGTGAAGATCAAAGTTATTGAATGAGTTAGTTTATCATGCTATCAGAACAGTTTCCTTCTCCTCACAAGACTCCTAGGGTAATTATGAGTCAGAATTGCCTGGCTGGCTATGGGTACTTTGAAGGGAGGAACTCTGGCTCCCTCCCGTGGCTAGTAAGGAGAAACACAAACCTCACAGGTCGCATTCTTACAGCTTCTCTCAGAGTTTCATCCTAAGAAACGTGGTTCTATCGCTTGTTGTTAAATGCCATCAAATCAGTTCCAACTCACAGTGACTACGCATAGGGTTTCTGAGGAGTGGCTGGTGGGTTTGAACTACTGACTTTGTGGTTAACAGTCTAGTACAGTGCCACACTTGTTGTTGTTAAGTGCCGTTGAGTCTATTCTGACCCATAGCGACCCTGTATAGGGTTTCCAAGGAGAAGCTGGTGAGCTTGAACTACGGACCTTGCAGTTCAGATGACTTTGCAGTCTGATGCATTAGTCCACAGCACCACACCAGGACTCCAAAAGTGCCACACTAGTTGTAAAGTGAAATGATGTAATGTGAAAATCTTAAAAAGTAAAAGATTAGACAACAATTTAGGAAAGGGGATATATTTTTTTTTTCTCTCCTGTATGTGAAGCTATGAGTGGATTGATTAGTCTGGCCTTGGGGGAAGTTGAGAGAAGGGAAGTTGGGCCAGGGAAACATCTGGTGAGAAACTTAAGCTATTTTCAGAAAGTTTTGAAGTGTCTATGCATTTATACACTTAGCCCTAGACTTGTATCTGATTCTCATCATTACTCATGCTATATATCAAGGTGAAATATGAAGGAAATGTCCCTTCTCTCATGCAAGCCCCATGTTGCCTATGTTACTGCTGCTACCCATCTCCAGACATGCCACCAGTCTTCACTTCAGCTTGACTTTATAAATGTAGGGAGTCTTGGATGCAGGGAGGTTTCAGAGGGTAGGACACACCCCTGATGGGTGACGTATATAGGTGTTGCAGGGAAAGGACTTTTGATATATTTGTTTAGGTTTGAGAAACCCTGGGTTTGAATCAAACAGGCTAGTTGGTGGTATGTATTTGTATGAGTTCTCAAGGCTTGGTAAGGACTGGGTTGTATGTAAGAATTGTCTAACTAGATTATTAGGGACTAGTGTTTGACAGGACTTCTGGTGTGGCGCTATAGGATAAACTCTGGACTGCTCATCAGAAACCCTATACAGAGTCACAGCTAAAGCCATGTGGGAACCATGTCTGACTTCCCCAGGCTTCAGAAGGGGAAAAGAGAATTAAATTCAAAATCAGGCTAAGGCCAATTCCTATGACTCGGAGGTCAGACATGCTACTATCCTACAACTTTCTTTATGCTGTTCTGACCCCAACCATACCTCCCACAGTACACTCTGCTTCAAATCTGGGTTTGATAATCTGCTGCAGTGATCACACAGAACTCATAATGATAACCATGATTATGGGGTTTATTAGGGAAGTGAACAGAGCACAAATCAGGGTCAAAAAGCTCAGGATGCAGCTGTTCTCCAGTCAGGAACATCTCTTGTCTGCCATATCGCAGGCACCCCTCACTCTTTCCTTCAGCCTCTCAGCCAAGTGGTCCCAGGGCCTCTGCCCTGCTTAGGAAAGTGTTACAAAGCTCTTTTAGCCAGGTTGTGAATGCTCAAAGGGCACATTCTGCAAGCTAGTCTCCTGCCTATAGGCACTCAGCTTTACTCAGTCCATGGGTCTAGAGCCCGAAGCTCTTCTGTCTCTCCATGCCACTGACCCTGGCATCGCTTTTTCCTTAGGTAGGGATCTCACGCTACATGCATGCTCTTCCTTCTTGATAGTCCTGGGATCTTCTGTCTCTGCTTCTGAGATAGCGCCTTTTAAACATAGCTTGAGAGAAAAGCTAACCAATGCCAGCTTTAGAATCCTGTGCTAACCTCAAGTTCAGCAGTTCGAAACTACCAGCCATTCCACTGGAGAAAGATGAGGCTTTCTGCTCCTATAAAGACTGACAGCTTGGAAACCCTATGCAGAGTCACTACAAGTTGGAACTGACTCCACGGCACACCACCACCATCGCTGTACCTTATATGCATGGTCCTCCTGGTGTGGCACTGTGGGTTAATGCGCCAGAGTGCAAAGCCATTTGAACTGCAAGGTCGGATTGTTCAAGCTCACCAGCTGCTTCTTAGAAACCATATGCAGGGTTGCTATGGGTCAGAATCAACTCAACGGCACTTAACAACAACAACAACACTTAGGCGTCCTGGTGTGGCACTGTGGGCTAATGCACTGGACTGCAATGTCAGTTTGAGCCGCAAGATCAGTGGTTAAAACTTACGAGCCACTCCTTGGAAACCCTATACAGGGTCGCTATGAGTCAGAACCAACTCAACAGCATTTAACAACACGACAACAGCCCACTCACTTGGTGGCAATTAAGAAGACTTTGGATAGAAAGGCCATATCGAGTAAATTCAAAGTACTACAGTCACTATGAGCCAGAACCAACTCAATGACATTTAACAACAGTGTTTTACAAACCCAGTTTGGGAAATGCTCTTTGGGGCAATGTGGCTTAAACAGTAAGAAAGCAGTGACAATATTCATAAAATACCTTTCTAGCACACCAAAACAATCTTCTCAATAAGTAAAAGGAAAACAGAACATTATACTGCAATTCCCATGAGGAGGAACACTTTTTCTTCTAGGTTTGGCCTTCTGTTTTTCTATCAGGATTAGAGGAAGAGTAATTGACAACCTGCCATATGCAGATAACACAACATTTCTTGCAGAAAGTAAAGCAGACTCGAAGCACTTATTGAAGATCAAAGACTACTGCCTTCATTATGATTAATATCTCATACACAGAAAACAAAATCCTCACAAGTTGAACAATAAGCAACATCACAATAAATGAGAAAAGAGTGAAGTTGTCAAGGATTTCATTTTACTTGGATCCAAAATGAACGCCCATGGAATCAACAATCAGGAAATTAAACAACATATTACAATGGGCTAATATGCTGTAGGAGTCCTGGTGTGGCACTGTGGGTTAATGCATCAAACTGCAAAGCTGTTTGAACTGCAAGGTCGGTGGTTCAAGCACACCAGCTGCTCCTTGGAAACCCTATAAAGAGTCACTATGGGTCGGAACAGACGCAACAGCACTTAACAACAACAACAATATGCTGCAAGAGATCTCTTTTTTAAAGTGTTAAAAAGCAAAGATGTCACTTTGAAGACTACAGTCTGACCTAATCCATGGTATTTTCAGTGGCCTTATATGCATGTGAAAGTTGCACAATGAATAGGATGATCAAAGAAGAATCGATGCACTTGAATTATCATATTGATGAAGAATAGTGAAATAGACCATGGGCTTCCAGAAGAACAAACAAAGCTGTGTTGGAAAAGGTAAAGCCAGCATGCTCCTTAGAAGCCAGGATGGCAAGACTTCACAGCTCATACTTTGGACATATTATCAAGGGGATCAGTCCCTGGAGAAGGACATCATGCTTGGTAAATTAAAGGGTCAGCAAGAAAGAAGAAGACCTTCTGCAAGATGGATTTATACAGTTACAGTAACAGTGGGCTCAAGCATGGAAATGATTGTGAGGTTGGTAAAGTGTTTCATAGGGTCACTATGAGCCAGAACCAATTAAATGTTACCTAATAATAACAACAGGAGTCCTGGTGTGGCGCTGTGGGCTAATGCGTCAGACTGCAAAGTCATTTGAACTGTACGTCAGTGGTTCAAGTTCACCAGCTGCTCCTTGGAAACCCTATACAAGGTCATTATGGGTCGGAATCGACTCAATGGCACTTAACAACAACAATAATAACAACAACAACAGAGTGCTGTGGCTATGTAAGATAAGCACTGGACTCCTAACCACAAAGTCAGTGGTTCAAGTCCACTAACTGCTTTGCAGGAAAAAAATTAGGCTTTCTGAACCCTCAAAGATATACAGCTTTGGAAATACTCTGCAGGGCTGCTATGAGTCAGAACCAACTTAATGGCATTTAACAGCAACAACAAAGTAAGGCTCAATGTAAGTAACCTAGCAAGAATTCCTTCTAGTTATAGGTTAGAATGGAAGGTACCAGATGCTATATTTGCATTTCATACAGTTTCAGTTCCATCTTCCTAAGAACTTGCCCTAATCCCTTTGTCCATTTCAAGGACCACCTCCACAAAGCAGCTTCTAGCAGCAGCACCACCACCAGAAAGAAAGAAGGACTTAGATCCTGGAAGATAAGCTTTTTTCTTACTTTTTTAGATGTTATCTTGGAATAACATAATTCTTAATGATAAAATGGCTCTAGATAAATATAAGTTTAGGTGCTAGGCACTCTTCTACTAAAGATTCCAAATAGATTGTTTCATATTCCTCTCCTCTGGTAGCGTAGTGGTTACGAATCAGGCTGTGAACCACAAGGTCAGCAGTTCAAAACTACCAGCTGTTCCGCGGGAGAAAGATGAGGCTTTCTGCTCCCGTAAAGATTTACAGCCTCGGAAACCCTGTACAGGGTCGCTATGAATGAGTCGGAACCGACTCAACAGCACACAACAACAACAACAACAGCCCTGTGAAGCAGGCACTGTTGTGCTCCCCATTTTATAGTGGAGGAATCTGAAACTTAGCAAGGTTACGTGATTTGCTTAGTAAATTACATTTACTCCTTGGCTGTGCTCATAACCCATTGAATGAGCTGGTTTGCCCTTTGGCATTCATGTTCGTGCTATTATTAAATTATCCTAGGTGCCTTTTCTGCAGCAGATGTCGCTGTGGAGCATTCCGACTCAGACTCTGTGAAGGTTGTAAACCTGGTTCCTCCTCTGGCCTTTCTTTTCAGTCTAATTCTGAAGCACAGCTGCCCGCATATCCTTCCCTGTTGCTTTTCTCTCTGTGGTCTCTGAGTGGCGGCGTCCAGACTCAGATTTAAGCTGTTACTGCAAATCGGCAATTTCCACTTCTGCCTCTTTTATCGCGAATGTCCACACTGAACTCAGCTATCAAAGACAGAAAAGTGGGAGTCATTCTTGGCTGATTCGTCTTCCTTATTCCCCAGGAAGGTCTAATTGAGACCAGGCTGTGATTCTTTGTTCTTCATCTCTCATAATCTGAGTCATTTCTTTTCCCTTTGTCTATAATTTAGCAGGTTGTAGATTTTTCATTGGTCTTCTCAGGTGGTCCTGCTTGGTTCTCTTCATTTACTTATAAATATACTGAAGCACAGGGCCTGCAGTGTTGAACAAAATGCACATGATCCCTGCCTCACAGAGCTAAGCACTTAGTGGGGAAAATGGAGATGGAGTGATAAACTGCTGTAAGTATTTGCTGGTCCCTGGATAGTGCAAATGGTTAAGAATTGAGATGCTAACTAGGAGGTTGGATGTTCGAGCCCATCTAGTGATAACCTTAGAATAAATGCCTAGCAATCTACTTTCACAAAAAATCTGGCACACATGGGGCACCCTGTGTCAGAGTTAACTCTATGGCAATGGGTTCATAGGTGTTTGCTATTGTTATGTGCCCCAGGGCTGTTCCAAGTGCTTTTCATTGATGAAGTTGTTTAATCTTAACAGCTCTATAATGTAGTGTTTTTTTTTTTATTCTGCTCCTTTTTTGAATGGGGAAACTGAGGCTCAGGAGTTAAGGAACTTCACCAAGACTCCACAGTGTCTTTGTGCAGAGCCAAGATTTAGACCCAGGCTGAGGCCCACAGCATTTACCATTTCACACTGTGTCTGTACGTCATTTTGTACTGTCTTCGAACATATAATTAAAAGGTTCAGTGGCCACCAACAACAGGCAAATGGGAAGAGCTATGGGTGTGTATGGAATCCTGGTGTGGTGCTGTAAGGTAAGCACTGAACTGCTAACCACAAGGTTGTTGAATCAACTCCACCAGTTGCTCCTTGGAAATCCTATACAGGGTCACTATGAGTTGGACCTGACTCGATGACACTTAACAACAACAGTAACATAGGAACATGGATGTGTGTATAATCTTGAAGAGTACTCTGAAAGAACGAGATGAGTATTTAGGGAATTCTAGTGTAAGGAAGAGGATATTTAATCTGAAATCTGAGAATGGAAAGGAATAAGATGGACATATGTGTGGAGAGAGGTGCTGTTCCAGGCAGAGTGATCAGCATGTGCTAAGTCCTTGAGGCAAGAGAGCCTGGCATGAGCAGGGAAGTTGCAGACCAGTGTGGCTGTAGTATTAGGTCATGGGTAAGAGTTGGTTGTTGTTGTTAAGTGCCGTCGAGTCGGTTCCGACCCATAGTGACCCTGTACAGGGTTTCCGAGGGTGTAAATCTTTACAGGAGTAGAAAGCCTCATCTTTCTCCCGCGTAGCAGGTGATAAAGCAGCAGAAATGAGCAAAGGGCCAGGCAAGTGGGAAACTGAGCCTGGATTCTTCTGACCATGAACTCTGAGAGAAGCTAAGGTTACAGTTTGATCTCTTTTCTAATACAGTCTCTCTATTATGGTGTATTCCAAAACAAAAATTTGATTGTCACTCTCCTCTTCACTTCCATTCCAAGAAGATGCTTTCTCCAGTTGCTGAGAAAGCTTGTTGAATTAGTGCTAAGTATTGGAAGAGGGCTCAGTGAGGTGTTGAGAAGAATACAGAGTCCGGGGGGTAGTAGTCTAAACTGTTCTCTCACTAATGGCAAACCTGCTGTCTGTGCCCTTAGAGTACTTCAGCAATTTTACTTCTTTTGAATGGAGCCCAATGGACCACCCTCTGTTGAATTATCTTCTTTAGTAAACAGTTATAAGCTTTTAAAAAATGTTATTTGTCTATTAGCAGTCCATGTGCTTTTGAATGTGCAACTCTTCACACCAGGGAACTTCTGTATGAATGCAGTCTGATTGGTTTCTGACAGTTTGCCATCTTTGTTTTAACAATAGATAAAACATTTACTATTTGAATTGCTTTTCAGACTGCCTTATTTGGAAATTATTCCTGAGTAAGTTGTGTTTAACATTTGAATTCTGGTTTTGCTCCTCAGTTCAGAAAAATACTCAGTATATACTGGTGTTTGATGCATTTGTCATTGTGATTTGCTTGGCATCTCTTATACTGTGCACAAGATCCATTGTTCTTGCTCTAAAGTTACGCAAGGTAAGTGTGTGTTTGCATTTTTTCCTTCCCCTTTTGACCTCTATCCTCATTTTGTCCAAACAGTAGACCACTGATGGTGTGTCTTCGGGCCCTTTATGGAGCCCCTCAGCTGAATTAGGTTCCTTTGAGTGGCTGCCCCCTATGAGGCTTTAATGAGCCTGAGGTGTCGAAAGTGAGTGAAGCCTCTGGCACGTCAGGTGGAACCAGATAATTATCCGACAGGTGCACAGTAGTGAACGCTCAAGCTTTAGAATGTTTCTAGAATAAACGAGGCCTTCTAAATACAGGAGTGATCTTAAGCACAGCGTAATAGCATGTGTGGGTTTCATCCTTTGTCTTCAAATTGAAGTTCATTTTGACAGAGAGAGATGGTAAATGGGTTGTAATGAAACATAAAATACTTTATTCTATTTAAAAAAAAAAAAATAGTTGGAAAATTCTCCCCAGAGTTTCACTTTACCTTTTTGCCCTCAGGACTTTTATGAACATACTCCAGCTCCCCACAAATCTTATTCTTATTCTGGTGTTTGGTGCGTGTGAGAATATATTCTGAGGTCAGGGCAAATAAGAATTTGAATATCATTTGTAGAGCCATGATAGTCAACATTCTAATTTCCTTAATCTTGACCTTTTGAATTTACTTTGTAACTATTTTCCTCTCTTATCCCATCTCCCCAACTCCCTCGATATTCTGAATCCCATATCAGAGTCCCAGCTCTGCCACAGTGAAGGGGTGACTAGGAGTTGGCACTCTGGGACCAGAATGCCTGGGTTCAAATCCTGACCCAATTTCTCTGTGCCTGTGGAAGATAAGGCTACTAGTACCTACTTCATAGGGTTGTTGTCAGAGTGAAGGAGTTGGTACCTTTGAGTATTTGGACCCCGAGGTTGGCAGTTCAAACCTACCAGTCACTTCAGTGGAGAAAGATGAGACTTTCAACTCCCATAAAAATTTACAGCCTTAGAAACCGTATCCAGGGTCGCTATGAGTTGGAATTGACTCAATGGTGGTGAGTTTTTGGGTGTGTTAGCCATTCAGATAAGAGTCTGTTGGAGTTAGAGCAAAAGGCATCCATTTAACTCTTCAGTGAATTTAGCAGAGAGTAGACACTCGAATGCTTTTTTATGAGAGGGAAAGTATGTGCTATATGTGTGTGTTAAGTGCCAACGAGTCAATTCTAAATCAGAGTGACCCTGTATGAGGTTTCTGAGGAGCGGCTGGTGGGTTTGAACTGCCGATCTTGCAGTTAGCAGTTCAGTGCTTATCCTACAATGCAACGCCAGACAAGTGGATCTATCAGATTAGAAAAGGCAGTGCCCGATAACTTTACTATTCTGTGCTTGTCTTTTCTTTCCTGAGGATGGTGGGGTTTGTAAGAAATGTTTTTAAAATGTTTGCCGTAGAGATTTCTAAATTTCTTCCTGGAGAAGTACAAGCGACGGGCATGTAACGCGGACCAGTGGGAATTCATCAATGGGTGGTATGTCATGGTGATCATCAGTGACCTCATGACAGTCACTGGATCCATCTTAAAAATGGAAATCAAAGCCAAGGTAAGGCACAATCCATTTAAAATCTTTCATTGTTTACCGTTTTCACATACAACACATCTACAGAAATAACTCATACACATATAACCCACATGCAGACTAATAAGTGAGGGGGTTTCAGGGCTGCAGACAGTATAGAGTGCATGTTCTTTGTGTAAAAAGATGATATAGTCTTCTGGATGACTTTAGACATTGTAAGATATAAAATCCTTAAGCAGAATAGTTTGTTTCTAGCATTTTCTTTTAACCTCTTGACTCAATTCTTGTGGGTATCCTGTTAGAGTCCTGGTTGGCGCTGTGGGCTAATGTGTCAGACTGCATAGTCATTTGAACCGCAATGTCGGTGGTTCAAGCTCACCAGCTGCTCCTTGGAAACCCTATACAGGGTCGCTATGGGTCGGAATCATATCGATAGCACTTCACAACAACAACAGTTACCTAATGCTGCCTCTGAAACATTAATACCACAAGTGGATGACTTTAAAGAACAGAAATTCATTTTCTCACCCCAGGCATTTCTTGGTTCCTGAACTTGTAGATGGACCCTACCTGGTGTCTGTGTGCCTCCAGCTGTGTCTCTAGTCTAGTCAGAAGTGATTAGGTTTAGGATCCACACTACACTTATATGGCCTCGTTACCATAACAAAAGAACAGGATCACATTCACAGATATAGGAATTCAACCCATATCTGGAGGTGGCAAGGAAAAGCAAAACTCAATCCGTAACAGCCCCCTAGAAATTTAGCAGCGATATTAGACTATTAAATGAAGTTTGACAAGATTGGTTATTTTGGCCGTTGCTGCTTTTTTTTGTTTATCCCCCCAAATTTTGAAATAAAGAGCTAAACTAAAACCCAATCATTGTGACCAGAGTAATAAGTATATATGCCCAGAGACAATAGTAACAATCTGATATTTGGTTTGCAAAATGGAAGAGAGGAATATTCAAGTGCCTACTAGGTACCCAATAGCTTATACAAATTTGTTGATTTTATCTCATAACAACCAGAGTCTTGACTCCGTCTTCTCCCAGCCACTCTTCTCTTCCATACTATGTTGTTAATCAGTAAGTCTTAGCAACTTTATCTCCTAATTGCTTATGTGTCTCCCTTGTTCATCCCTACCTACTACCTCTAGCTTCTTTTGAACCATATTCCTCCCTGGCTTGGACTGCTATGGTGGTTGTGGTGGTTAAGTGCCGTGGAGTTGGTTCCGACTCATAGCCACCCTGGACAGGGTTTCTGAAGCTGTAAATCTTTATGGGATCAGAAAGCCTCATCTTTCTCCCGTGGAACAGCTGGTAGTTTCGAACCTTGTGGTTCACATCCCGACTCGTAACCACTACGCTACCAGAGCTCCTTTGGACTGCTATGTTGTTGTTGTTGTTGTTATGTGCTGTGGAGTCGGTTCCGACTCATAGCGACCCTGTACAGGGTTTCCAAGGTTATAAATCTTTACGGGAGCAGAAAGCCTCGTTTTTTCTCCTGTGAAAGAGCTGGTAGTCTCGAACTGCTGACTTTACGGTTCATAGCCCAATTCATAACTACTATGCTACCAGAGCTGCTTTTGCTGCTATAGCAGTCTCCTAATGGATTATTCTTCCTTCAGGGAACCTTGAATCCCTCAGAGTAACTTTTCTGGAATTGTCTATCTTAGTGTTAAAAGCTTGTATGCCTCCGGCAGTCTACCTCAGCATGGCTTCCACCATCCACATCTTCTGGCTCTGCCGCCTTCTCCTGCCCTAAGCCTTCACTGATCCCACAGTACTGTCCCTCTCCGACACCTCACTGTTCCCAGCACCGTGCCTTCATTCAGCAGTCTGTTTACCTCAGGACCCAGCCCCGCTCTGAAGTCACACCAGCTTGCCTCTGTGTCTCTCATTGCACTCAGCACATTATATTTGGATGGTGTTGGTGTGTTTACCTCCTCAACTAGACGTGGATTCTCCGAGAGTGGGAACTGTGATAGCATATCATGTTTGAGCTGCCTTTCAAAAGTAGCTGAATTGTGGATTGTTTGGTCCTTAACAAATACCATTAGTATTTATAGTAATGCCTGATTCAGAGGTAGATGTAATATCTATTTCAGCATATTTGAAAAAAAATATTGGCTTAATGAATTGAAATATTTAAAGGAAATGAGAAATATATTTGGAAATTAATTCTTTATTTCTTCTTCTTCTTCCTCTCTTCTTTTGAAAACTTTTAGTAGCATTGATAGGGAAACAGGTAATCCATTCTTGCCCAAGTCATTTGAAGTGAAGCTAATACCACAGATGCTGTAAACAACTACTTCTTTGAATAAAGCTGAGTAGAATAGAATATTTTTATCATCTGTTTATTATTATTATTATTCCTTAGAATCTCACAAATTATGATCTGTGCAGCATTTTGCTTGGGACATCTACGCTGTTGGTTTGGGTTGGAGTCATCAGATACCTGGGCTATTTCCAAACATATAATGTAAGGATGCGGCATTGGGTAGGGCTGCTGGGATTGGGACTAATTTCATTTTGGGGATATAATAAGATGCCTCTAAAATACTCTTTTTTGTGTTTCCCATTCTGTTGATTTTTTTTTTTTTTTTTAAGGTGCTTATTTTAACAATGCAAGCCTCAGTGCCCAAGGTCCTTCGGTTTTGCGCTTGTGCTGGCATGATCTACCTCGGTTACACGTTCTGTGGCTGGGTTGTTTTAGGACCTTACCACGACAAGGTATGTAGGATTGATTTTCCCTTCCACAAATTGGGTACATGGAAATGTTGTTAGGTGCCTTCAGTGCCATTGAGTCAATTCTGACTCATAGAGAACTTATCACAAAAGAACAAAAGCCTGCCCAATCCCGGCCCTGTGCCATCCTTGCAGTTGTGATGTTAAGAGTCCATTGGTGCTGCCAGTGTATCAATACATCTTGTTGGAAGGCTTCCACTTTTTCCCCGACCCTTCTCCAGGGACCCTTAAACATGGACTTTCTACACTTAACTTTCTTCCCACTCTTCTCTTGCCACAGCTTTGATGTCAGTGAGCACATATCTTCCCATCGGTTTTCCTTTTACTTTTCAGGATATTGAAGAGACTTCAGGATATTAAAATAAGAATTGCTAGGGACCAGAGAGCACATTTAATAATTGTTGGGGACAGACTCTAGGTGTCTCCTGTTAACTGATCATCAAACAAGAAACGTTTGGACAAGAGAGCATTATAGTAAAAATGGCAAATCATCCTTTTTATTTAAAATATTGTGTGTATGTGTGTGTGTGTGTGTGTGTGTGTTTTCTTTTATTTTTTCATCTAAATTAATTGGGGAGAATAAGGATGAGCAATGGTTCTGCTCTGAAGGACCATATTAGACATACGATGGAAGTGATAAAGCATCTTGTCTTTGCAGGTGGTTTTGATTACACATCACCTCTGTGCCTGATTAAAGATCAGCATCTGAATTCTAAACTATTATTCAGCTTCCGTCAGTAGTATTACCACAGGGACAGCATTGTTATGCTCAGATGTTCTGGTTCAGAAAGGATTCCTTTGATTGGCTAATGAAGTCGCTGTCAGGGAAGAACACTAGGTAGGTCTTACTGTCAAACCAAAAAAAGTAAAGGGAGTTAAACATTTTCTTCCATTCACCAGTGACAGTCAGTACAACAGCGGCTGCTTGTGTGTCAGGTACTGTGCTAAATACTTCTAGGGTCTCTTTTGTTTAATCCCCACAACAGCCCAGGTACGGGTAGCCTCATGCAGGAACTCTGCAAGGTGAAAAGAGGTAAAGATGTAAAGCATTGTTTCTAAGCTTGTATAACATCTTTGCCTTACTTTTGACCTTGATCATTGACTTCACCAAAGTGTATGGATCAAATCTGATTTGCAAATCATTCACAAAGAAGAAACAGCCCCCAAAGCTCAGACTTCCTGTGCTGTCCTACCAGAAGGAAGCCTGGTAACTTGCACATACAGGCCTTGTGCTTTTTAAGCCTCATATTTAATAGGCCCCTGAATTATTACTACTTTTCCAATTAGAGAGACTGTACAGTAAACAAAGTGACAACCTCTGGGATGATAGTTAATCTTGTTAATCTTTTTGCTCTTCTGATTTCATGTCATCAATTTTAAAAAAAAAAAAAAAAAAAAAACTTTGATATGATCTCTCTCATCTGGAGAACTTACTGAGTTAGAGCCTAGAAAAATTCCCAGGTTTTTCTTCTTGTCTCATGCTCTGAAAACTTCTTCACATAGTTGTCACTAGAGGGCAGTGTTGCACTGTGTAGAAAAATACGGCTCTTCAGAATCTGTGCTTATTTCCACTGGTCCTAAGATCTGGTGGGGGTGGGGGAGTTGGGGGGGGAGTGGCAAGTGGTTCTCTTTCCTTTGCACTCCAACTTCCCTACCCTATCATTATCCTAGACGGAGCTCAGATAATATTACTTGGATTTTAATAAAATAGCTACCATTCTCAAGTGCTATATGAACAAGGCATGGAGCCCAAGTTCTTTACCTCTTTTGCTATGCAAACCTTCACAGCAATCCTGTGGGAAAATATTATTTCTGTTTTACCTAAAAATGTTAAATCATTTGCCTGGGGTCACATGACTAGTAAAATGACAGAGATAGGGCTGATGCCTAGGTCTCCTTGACTTCAATGGACTTGCTTTGGCTAGTCCCTTCTAGAATTTTTCTTGATTGTGTCCAAAATGGGCCATTGCAAATGAGCAAGTAGTAGATCAACTTCTAGATCAACTTTGAGAGGAAAGCCATGTAATCAGTCTAATTTGTCTAAACGGGTACTGTGGTCTCCTCATGGTAAATGAGGCTTATGTGCTTTGTGAGTCTGGCTGCAAATCCATGTCAGTTCTAACCTTTCCAAGGATCCAGGCAAAGTGTGCAAGCTCTCGAATAACACTATCCAGTGAAAATATAATGTGAGCTACAAATGAAAGTCATAGTTGTTCTTAAAGGTTTCTAATAGCCACAGTAAAGAAAAAAGAGAAAGAAATTGATTTTTATAATATATTTTATTTAACACAATATACCCAGAAGATTATAGCATGTAACCAATATGAAAAAGGAGCTCTGGTAGCGTAGTGGTTACAAATCGGGTTGCTAACCTCAAGGTCAGCAGTTCAAGGCTCCCAGCAGTTCTGTGGGAGAAAGATGAGGCTTTCTGCTCCCATAAAGATTTACAGCCTTGGAACACCTATACAGGGTCACTATGGGTCGGAACCAACTCCATGACATGTAACTACCATCACCAACAACAATCAATATTAAAGATTGGGATCTTTTATGTTCTTCTTTTTCTGCATAAAGTATTTGAAATCTGCTGTGTGTTTCATGGAGTCCTGCCGTGGATAGCAATCTCAGTTGAGGCTAGCTGCATTTCAGGTTTGTGGAATGCAGCTACACCTGGTTTCTGGCTGCCATCATGGACATTGCACCTCCAGACTTCTGTCTGCCATTTGACGTCAGCATCCCGCTTACCCTGCTGGAGTAGTACAAGGACACAGAGTATCTCTGTGCAGCAACCCAGCAGGTCTCTCATCCATCTCTCATCCTGAGTTAGGCTGTATGTTAGGAAATGCGTGTTTGAGTTGAAAATTCCACTAGTCAGCGGTGAGAGGATGCCTTCAGTCTGGTTCTGGGATTTTTGTGCTTTTCTGTTTCATATTGGTCCTTATTTGAATCTGAAGTTAGAAATTTTAACTTTCCCAATGCCCTGGCCTCCCTCAAAAAATGTAATCTAAACTGTCAGCATTTCCAGGTTGTACCATATCTGTTGAACCAGACAGCCTAAAGTGTTACGTGAAGACTTGAAAATCTAAGTGCTACAGCAAGCGTTTTTTAGGAGTTTCAGGATCAGCAACAGTGAGTGAGGAAGTTAACACTTTCTTTCAAAAATAAAACAAACAAACAAACAAAAAACACAGCCAAACAATCCTAAGGAGAAAGTATCAAGAAAGTGGTATGTAATTCTACCCCTGTCTGATTCATAGCCGGAGTCACACAACTTTTTAGCCTCTTGTTTTCCTGCTAGATATCTAATTTCGGTGGCTCATCTGAAAGAGAATAATGATACAAAGGTGTTCTGTTGATGTACGTTTCCAGCACTAATGGACTTTGGCACAGTGCACTTTCAGTCTGGACACATAGGGCTGAGACTGTTGATGTTCTTCCAGATCTCATCTTGAATTATTAAATGTTACCCTAATGCAACTTTTATGCTTCCAGTGAACATTGTTATAGTCTTGCGTTGTCTCCGCAAGCACGGAACAATTATCGGACTTTGATGATATCATGATGATACAGACCCTGCCTTACAGCTTCATGCTTCCCATTTCTCTGGTTTTATCCAAGTAACTCTCTTACTCAAATGAACCGTTAGCCAGTCCAAAAGTTTATGTGCGGGTTGCTTGAGGTACTCACTACCAGTTCTTCAAATTCTTGCATCATTTTCTAACATAAGGCATTTGAGGGTTTTTGTTTGTAATTCAAAGGAAGATTCTTTTTAGTTCCATCACTTGTGAAAAGAAAGTTTGGGTCCTAACTGTGGTTCAGTGGAATCTATGGGTACTCTTTATGGAAATATCCATTTAATATGTCTTAAATAGCATAGTGGTTACAAATCGGGCTGTGATCCACAAAGTCAGCAGTTCGAAACTACCAGCTGCTCTGCAGGAGAAAGATGGGGCTTTCTGCTCCTGTAAAGATTTACAACCTCGGAAACCTTGTACAGGGTTGCTATGAGTTGGAACCGACTCCACGGCACATAACAACAACAACAAATGTGTATTGCTCATCAAACATTGTCAGATTCTTTGAGACCCAGATTTCAAAGGACAGGGAGTGTGGCTTGTTTCTCTTTGTCATTCCAATGTCTAGCATGGTGGGTAGACCAGGGTAAGGGCCCAACAAGTTTGTTGAATGAACAAGAAACAAACAGTGCCTTCTTTCTAGGAGTTTGCAATCTCATAGGAACTGAAACAACTCCCTATAAATGCTTCCCTTCTAGGCTGGAAGCACACTTGTTGTTGTTGTTGTTGTTGTTAAGTGCCGTTGAGTCGGTACCGACCCATAGCGACCCTGTACAGGGTTTCCGGAGCACACTATGACATTGTTATTTCTCCTTTAGGTGTTTCTTAAGCTTACCTCTACTATGGAACTTGGCTACTGACGGCTGTGGTTCACAGCCATTTCTTGTGGTACACAATAACATGGTACACACCAATCATTTCACTTGTTGAATCTCTAACTTTTTGGTGAGTCATAATCATTGTCACATGCTTAGAAGCAAGGGAGGTATTGTGGAAATCATCACTGATGAGATATTAATGGTAAGAAGTATTTTGCTTGTACTGATAATAAGTAACTATATGAGAAACTAAGAACTCAATTTGGTATGTACTGAGAACTGGTATTTACAGTTCTGAAATTTGAAGCACTGATTGTTAGAGATTATTGGAATTTAAACAAGAAATGGACCAGATTCTGGAAGAAATTATGAGAAATCTGAATTATTGCTGGTATTGTCAATGATGTAATTGGCATTCATAAGCATTCATAGAAACCAGCTTTATTTTTTATTGCTTTAAGACCCCCAGTGTGATGGATTGGTTTACTGGCAGCATCAATGGGCTCAAGGGTGGCAACAATTGTGAGGTTGGCCCAGTGTTTCATTCTGTTATGCATAGGGTCACTATGAGTCGGTACCGACTCGATGGCACCTAACAACAACAACAAAGATGACTGAAAGGGATAGAACATATTTAATCTGGGACTGCCTTTCTTACTGTTAACTAATTTGCTCACCTCCAGGTTTCTAAGGAAAGCAAGTTTAGTTGATCCTGTTCCAAGTACAGCTAAGGTATGGGTGTAACCCTGACTTGTGATACACTTGTGTGCCCTCTTTCTTGACCACAAACTGTGTCCTGCCTTGTTCAGCCATAGGACAGGGAGTGTAATACACAATGCACGCTATCTAGTTGAATATGTTGTTGAGTCAGGTCCAACTCCTGGCAACCCAGTGTATGTTGTTATTGTTGATAAGTGCCCTCGAGTCAGTTTTGACTCATAGCTACCCTGTGTAGGGTTGCTGAGGATCAGCTAGTGAGTTTGAACTGCTGACGTTGCAGTTCAAACCGACCTTGAGGCTGGGTGCATATCCTATGGTGCCACACCAATTATAGCAGAGTGAAATATTGCCCGGTCTGTCCAATCTTCATGATTATGATTCTTGATATGTTTGAGTCCATTGTTATGATTATAATGCCAATCTGTCTCTTGTGAGAATTTCCCTCATAATCACTGACTTGCTGCTTTACCAAGAATGATACAAGGCTAGGGAGAATTGTGCATAAAATGGAAAGCCAGCTAGTAGTTTACTCTGTGGCCCTGAGTGATACTGAGAACAGAGAGAGAACAGATCAGTATGCCTTAAAGAAGAGTTTGAAATGGGCCCTGAATGTTGACTTGATATGGACACAGAAAAGAGGAGGAACATGTTAGGTATCGAGAGTAGGTCCCATGAAGAAAACATGTAAAATGAGCCTGCTCTTCTGGGAGGAGAGAAGCACAGGCTACTATCATTGATGATTAGATGGCATGAAGCCACAGAAAGGAGAAGCTTATTTCAACCTGGTGAACCCTGGTGGCACAGTGGTTAAGCACTCAGCTGCTAACTGAAAGGTTGATGGTTCAAACCCACCAACTGCTCTGCAGGAGAAAAGATCTGACAATCTACTCCTGTAAGCATTACAGTCTTAGAAACCCTCTGGAGCAATTCCGCTCTGTCTTATCAGATCACCGAGTTGGAATTCATGAGTCAGAATGCAACAGGTTTGGATTTTGTTTGTTTGTTTTATACTTGGAGTTCAGCCCTTGTATATTCTCAAGCAATATAAATGACCTGAAAGTCTATGAAGTTTAAGTTTTGCTCCAACTTGAACCTACGTAATAATGCAGAATTAAATGTTGCCATCCGAGTGGTGAATCAGAGAAACATGGCATGAGAAGGCAGAATCCTGAATTCAAGAGATGGGAAAATGAATTGCTTCAACACACAATCTTAAGTACTTGGTTATATTGGAGTCAAATGTTTCCTTGATAGGAAATTGGAATCACAGACATAATAAGACGATTTGGGATGAAATTTGGAGTTTGGTTGCTGGGATGTTTTATTTTGTTCTATGTGTAATAATAGCACAATTCCAAGTGAAAAGGTCCCACACACATCCAGCACAGAATTGAGTGCCCTCAAGGCCAAATGACTTAATGGAATTACAGATTCCCATCTCTCAGTCCAAAACTTGACATCACTGATTCCATGTTTGTTTGTTTTCTGAAAATTCGATTTTCTTTTGTTTCATAGGTCATTATTGTTCTTTAGGAAGCTTTCACGTTAGTCTACTGTTCCAAAGCTCTGGACCTTGAGACAATAGTTTATTAAGCACCTGCTGTTTGTTTTCAGTGACTGTGACAGTAGAATTGTTCAGCTACTAATACTCAGAAAATATGACTAACTGATTACAAGATTGCAGTGATATTTCACATTGCTTCAGCTCATACACAGTTTTGTATATTGCATTTTCATGTATTTCTGGTTGTAATATAAAACTGCTTCAGTTCTTTCAGAAAACAGTTTGGAAGAATGTAGTCTTAAAAAAGAAATGTCAATAGCCTTAGACCCAATAATAGAGATGTTCATTGCAGCGTTCCTTACAGTAGCAAACATTTGGGATGTCCAGTGATTGGGAAATAACTAAATTTGGAATTTGGGAAGATGCTTAGAGTAAAAAAAAAAAATGATTAGGATCCAAAACTTTAAAATGATACGACCACAGATAAATATTTAAAAGTACATAGGACCTGGCTCAACTTTCAGCCAAAGGATCCATCTCTAAGGTGAGGACTAACACCAGGGAGGTATCCACTCCTTAGAATAGTCAGTCATATGAGATTAGGAGCATTTGCCCAGGGACAAGCTCAGAAGACCGGCAGGGATAGGAAAGAAGGACAAATGGCAATGGTAAGTACAAGGAGGAAATGACACGAATGCTGCTACAATGTGGGCCTGCACCCAATGTCACAAAACAAAATGTGTATGAATTACTGAATGAAACTAATTTGCTCTATAAACTTTTACCCAAACCACAATACAATGCATAGGAGAATACTGAAGGAAATCTCAAAAGATTATCTTTGAGAGTGTGAGGAGTGTTTTGTTTTGTTTTTTTTTAATGATATATTCCTAATTCTTGTGGAGTCCTGGTATGGCTCTATAGGATAAACACTCAACTTCAAAGTCAGCTTGAATTGCAAGGTCAGCAATTCAAATTCACCAGTTGCTCCTTGAAAACCCTATACAGGGTCACTATGAATTGGAACTGACTTCATGGCACTTAATAACAACAATTCTTGTGGTATTTTGTTGTGTTAAAATGAATGAGTTACTTTTAACAGTAGTAGTTGATGTTGTTGTTGTTGTTGTTAAGTGCTTTTGAGTCCGTTCCAACGCATAGTGGCCCTGTATAGGGATTCCAAGGAGCATCTGGTAGATTTGAACGCCGACCTTGCAGTTAGCATTCTAGTGCTGATCCTACAACGCCATACCAGGACTCTATAATAGTAGTGTTGCTGTTGCTATGTACCACTGAGTTGGTTCCACCTCATGGTGACTCAGTATGGGTTTCCGAGGAGCAGCAGTTAGGTTTGAACCACCGACCTTGTGATTAACAGTCAAGTGTTTACCTTAGAATGGCACAACAACTTGACAAAATGAACTAAGTCGGTATCTCTCTGCTTTGTAGTGTATAAATGTCTCTCAGACTAATTTTTGTTTCCCTCACAGTTTGAAAATCTAGGTACAGTTGCTGAATGCCTGTTTTCTCTGGTCAACGGTGATGACATGTTTGCGACCTTTGCCCAAATCCAGAAGAAAAGTGTCTTGGTGTGGCTGTTCAGCCGTCTGTATTTATATTCCTTCATCAGCCTTTTTATATATATGATTCTCAGCCTTTTTATTGCACTTATTACTGATTCTTATCACACCATTAAGGTAAATAATTATCAATAATTGTTGCCAAAACACTATTATAAATTCTGCATAGATTATGACATAGGAAATGACTATATCTTCTTTCACTTAGGGTTTTGAGAGCTTACTGTAGAAAATAAGCTTTTTAGGTGCTAGAGATTAACTTTTAAATATGCACTTGGGACATTATCCGTATTAGTCCAAATCAGGGTGGAGTGGTTTGGAGGTGGGAGAAAAAAAAAAAAAAGAAGTGGGTAAGTTACCAACTTTTTAGAAAATAAAGGATATAAAGACCTACTTAACTAGGCCTACTCTGCGTTGACAGTGTGGGGAGGAAACGGTCTTATCTTGGCTTGCAATGAATATGAAAGCTTTGGACTTTTGACTCCTTCCTTCATTCTCCTTGTTAGCACTCCCCTTCCCTTCCCCACCCTGGCTTTCTCTTGGATTGTTCTCTGTTCCCATGGTGGCCATGGCTTAGTGTTCTGGAAACGACAGGTTGATTCATCATGGTTAATATCAGTTCTTGGATCTGGGCTAGCAGTGTGGGCGAGTTTGATTTTAGCAGAGGTAGGTTTTGTTTGTTGACAAAAGCAGCAATTTCTCATGTTCTCTATATAAGATAATAACATTGTGTTACTTTTTAAAAAGAAATACCAACAGAATGGGTTCCCTGAAACGGATCTTCAGAAATTCCTGAAGGAATGTAGTAACAAAGAGGAACATGAGAAAGAAGCCTCAACCTTCCTATCCTGCTTCTGCTGCCTGAGGAGGTCAGTGTGTGTGATCAGGTTGCCATGATGTTGAGATGCGTTGCCCTGCTTCCTTCAGAAAGAGTTGTTCCAACTTCAACACTGCACTCATAAATCAGTTTACTATGAGAATGATGAATCTCCTTGCTTTATGCTCATGAAAATGGCTTTAGAAATGTATCATTTCTTTAAAAATGGGATATATTGTTGTATGACATGGTTGAAATCTCTTCAGGATGATATGAGGCTATTTTGAGAGAGGCTGAATCTGTCGTTGTTGTTTTTAAGTGCCAATGATTCAGTTCTGACCCATAGAGACCCTGTATAGAGTTTCCAAGGAGCAGCTGGAAAGCTTGAACCACTGACCTTGCAGTTCAAAGGGACTTTGCAGTCCAATGCATTAACCCACAGCGCCACACCAGGAAAGTATGAGTAAATACCCTTAAATCCAAGAAAGTGAATTCTTACATGTCCATAGTAAGAGACCTCACAGCTCTTAGCTTTAGAGATAGAACACTGAGCATGTCAAAGGCACTTTTGCTTGTCCAAATATGTGGTACAAATAACCTTTCTTGAGTTTGGGAAGAAGTTGTACATGTCCTTGGTTAGAAACATCATCAAAAGCTCTTCATTCACCACCTGCACTTTCTGCTGTTTATCAGGACCTGTAAAAACAGTGGTCTAGATGTCAGTGGTCAAAGCAGACCATGTAGTGGCTTGAGGACTAGACTGGAAGTCAGATGAGGACCATTTTCTTGAATGCGCCTTATTTGTTTTCATCTGAAGTAAAAAACGGATGGTGGTGGTGTACCATGGCTCCACTTCTGACTCATAGTGACCCAGTATAGGATTTCTGAGGCTGTAAATCTTGATGAGAGCAGAAAGCCTCATCTTTCCCCCATAGAGTGTCTGGTAGACTTGAACTGCTGACCTTGTAGTTAGCATCCCAAAGTACCCTCATCTCATGTTTTCTGAGAAGGATTTTCTAAACCAGATTCCTAAAGGAAGATAGGAGACTGTAATTGCTACTTAAAACCACAGGATGTATTATATTGTTGTTAATCAATTCATACTGAATCTTAAGATTTTAAATGACATGATTAAGCATTTTCAAAGAATGTTTGGTAAGTAGAAAATGAGTCTTATAAGAAGAGTTAATTTTTAAAAATCACATTTCATCCTCTCAGAATACCAGAGTGCTGCCATGGAAGCTAGGATAAAGGGAAATTAATTTTCTTAATAGGCAGCTGTCTCCTAAGAGGAGACACGAGTAAGGAAAGTCTCTCAAAGTCGATTTTCTAATATGTAATTAACTGTAAAGGAAAAAAAAAAATTCCTTGGGAAATGTTGTGAATTCTGAAAAGTAGCTGATAGATCTTTGATATTTGACATTTGGACCTTGGTGTGTATACTACAAAAATGCACAGAAGATTAAGTATTTTCTGCTGAAGCCACATGGAATGAGAGAGAGAGGTTTAAGAAGTAGACTAGAAGACTTATTGGCAAGATTGATCTGAATGGTGATAAAGAAGGGGTATCATCAATCGATAATTGTAGTACGGTGTGCTAGGGTTGATGAGACTATGCATGGTGAGAAGGAAGCTCCACTCACAATGAGGAATGAAAGAATTAAACGGAACAAGAGAGTCCACCAGTGAAATCAACCAAGAACCAGGATGTAGAAATTTTGGAAGAAAGAGGATATCAAAAAATAAAAGAAGAAGTGGCTCTTACCACATTCGACCAAAAGATGTTCATGGGTGAAGTCAGCTAGAGAAGTTTTAGAGAATTATTAGAACAGAGCCAGATCTGGGGGAGTTTGGGGTGGCACCGTGCAGACAATGAATGATGGTCAGGGAGCTGGGAGAAGGAAATAAGTTGTTGCAGGGCCTTAAAAATACCAAAATGGATGTCAGAAGAGGCTCTGAAACTTGCTCTTGAATATAGAGAAGCTAAAGTGACTGGAAAAAATGAGGAAGTAAAAGAACTGAACAGGAAACTTCAAAAGGAAGCTCAAGAAGACAAATTCAAATATTATTATGGAATGTGCAAAGACTTGGAGTTAGAAGAGAAGAACATACTCAGCATTTCTCAAACTGAAAGAACTGAAGAAAAAACTCAAGCTCCAGGTTGTAATATTGAATGATCCAGTGGGTAAAATATCAAATGACACAGGAAGCAGCAAAAGAAGATGGAAGGAATCCCCAGAGTCACTGTACCTAAAAGGATTGCTTGATGCTCAATCATTTCAAGAGGTAGCATATAATCAAGAACTGATGGAATTGAAGGAAGAAGTCTAACCTGCCTTGAAGGCATTGATAAAAAACAAGGCTCCAGGAATTGATGGAATACAAACTGAAATGCTTCAACAAATCTATGTAGCACCGGAGATACTCACACATCTATACCAAGAAACCTGGCTAACCAATTGTAAGAGATTCATATTTGTGCCAATTCCAAAGAATGATGACCCACTGGAATACAGAAATCTTTGAACAATATTATTAATACCACACATTCATAAAAGTTTGCTGAAGATAATTAAAAAATGGTTGCGACAGTACATTGACAGGGAACTGCCAGAAATTCAAGCCGGATTCAGAAGAGGACATGGAATTAGGGATGTCATTGCTGATGTCAGATGGATCTTGGTTAAAAGCAGAGAATACTAGAAAGATGTTTACTTGCACTTTATTGACTGCACAAAGGCTTTCAACTGTGTAGATCATAATAAACTATCGATAACACTGAGAAAAATGAGAATTCCAGAACACTTAATTGTGCTCATGAGGAATCTGCACATAAATCAAGAAGCAGTTGTTAGAACAGAACAAGGGGATGCTGGATGGTTTAAAATCAGGAAAGGCGGATGCCAGGGTTGTATACTTTCACCATGCAATTCAATCTGTATACTGAGCAAATAATCTGAAAAGAAGGATTAGATGAAGAAGAATGTGGCATCAAGATTGGAGAAAGTCCTTAACAACCTGCAATACGCAGATGATACAAGCTATATGCAGATGATACAAAATACTGATGAAGATCAAAGACTATAGCCTTCAGTATGGATTACACCTCAATGTAAAGCAAACAAAAATCATTATGTTATGTTGTGTTAAGTGTTGATGAGTAATTCCGACTCAGTGTGACCCTGTATAGGGTTTCCAAGGAGCTGCTCGTGGCTTTGAACTGCTGACCTTGTGATTTGCAGTCCAGTGCTAATCCACAGCACTACATCAGGAATCCTTATAACTGGATCAATAAAAAACATCATGGTAAATGAAGAAAAGATTGAATCTGTCTAGCACTTCAATTTGCTTGGATCCAAAGTCAACATTCCTGGAAGTAGCAGTAAAGAAATCAGATGAGATATTGTATCAGGCAAAACTGTGGCACAAGACTTCTTTAAAGTGCATCTGACCCAAGCCATGGTGTTTTCACTCACCTCATATGCATGCAGGAAGACCGTAAAAGAACCAGTGCATTTGAATTATGAGTATTGGTGAAGAATATTGAAAGTATCATGGACTGCCAGAAAAACCAACAAATCTGTCTTGGAAGAAATACAGCCAGAATGTCACTTAGAAGTGACGATGGTGAGACTACATCTCTCAAGTGTCATGAGGTACCAGTCCCTGGAGAAGGACATCATGCTGGGAAGAGTGAAGGGTCAGAGAAAAGGAGAAAGACTCCCAATGAGATGGATTGACACAGTGGTAGCAACAATGGGCTCAAACAACAATTGTGAGGATGGTGCAAGACTGGCTGGTGTTTTGTTCTATTATACATAGGTTTGCTATGAGCTGGAATTGACTGGAGGGCACCTAACAACAACAATAACATCCATCCAATCTGTTCCATGCCTCCTTAAACTTTTGGGTCCTCCAAAGTCATCAGGGTGGGTCAGAAGACATCTGAAACCTCTGCCAGTCCTAATGTGATAAGGTGCTTTGAAGAGAGATAATTAGTTGAACAGATGTGGAGCTCACGTTCTCCTCCACTGCACTGAAAGATGAAATCGGCTGCCTCAGCCTTTGATAAGAGTTTGTCAGTTAAGGGAGATGAAGGTTCCTAATAGAAGTACAGCTTCTCAAAGATGGTTTCCAAAAGCATGTACTGAAACCTAAAGTAATGTGAATTGTTCTTCTTAACTTTTATCCTCTTTTTCATTGCACTTAATCTAATATATAGAATAATCCTATTCCTCCTCAAAGATTTTAAAATATAAGCTATACTTTTGTTGTTGAGTGCCATCAAATTGATTTGATTCATGACACTCTCATGTGTGCAGAGAAGAAGGACTCTGTAGAGTTTTCAAGATTGTGCTCCTTCAGAAAAAGATTGTCAGGTCTGTCTTCTGATACACCTGTGGGTATGTTTGAACTTCCAACCTTCTGGCTAGTAGTCAAGTGCTTGATCATTTGCACCACCCAAATATTACCTAACATGTCTGTAAGTACCTGGTATACAATGATTTCTCCTTCAAAGATTTCTAAATCATTTTTCTCTTTTCTCTTTCCTCCTCCCGACTCTGTTACAGGAAAGGAAGTGACGAGCACTTGATACTATTTAACTAAAATCCTTGTGCTAAAGACAATCAAGTTCAGACATCCTTATCCAGTGACAATGTAGAGGGGGCCCCAAACAGTTTGGACCGACATTTTAAAAAATACTGACTTATTTCACTGTGGACCAGGAAAGAAGAGTGTCTGTCAGCTGGCTGGCCCTGGCCAAAGTTCCTTTTTAAAAACTTGGATAGTGAAACATAAACTATAGACTCTGTTGGGGCATTAGTGCAATAGAGCAATGTTAATAAAATTCTCTACTAGTCTTAATATATGACATGTTAATGTAGGGATTTTTTTTTTTTAATCACATTTCAGAGTGTATGAAGCAATGGTGTTTTAATGTCATGTGTTTAAAGATGTATGTTCATTGTGAAATAAAGATTTATTTTGAAAGTGAGTGTGTAGAAGACTTATTAATTCATGGTCTGCACAGAAATGAAGTAGGCTGCTATACTCCACTAGAGACTAAGGTGAAGAAGTCATTTAAAGGTTGCATTTAAATAACAACAACAAACCCCCCACCAGCAGTGGACATTCCTTGGTCTATCTTCTATGCCTTTTCTTCAGTCTGATATGAACCACTATTGGCTTAGTCAGTGGGATGAACTGATAACCGAGTTATTTGGACACCTCACCCATGTGAAGTATTAGTTGGTGATAGTACAGAAAACAACATGAGGAAGTAGCAGTGGTCACTCATTTTAACAATTGAACTCCACTGTGCTGAAGATTTATCCTTGTCAAGCAAAGAAATAGGATTGTGTTTCCCAAGTAAATTTATTTTTATCATATCATATGGAATATCACTATTTTTAGAAGATAATCTCTCGACATCTATCTAGTACAGAATTCAGACCACATCATTATTAACTATCTCCAAGTGGACTTTCTCCATTCTTAAAACTCCTGTAAGGAGATACGGTACCATTTCAATAAATGTGATGATCTGAGGGTTTAGGATTACTTTATTCATATATTTGTTTCATTCCTGAGATATCAAGGGTCAACTACTTAAAATGTATTGGTGAAGAGAGAATTAGAATTAAGCAGGACACCAGCCCCAGGGCTTTCCTTTTCCCCTATCCTCTGCTGTGCTGTCCCCCCTCCCAGCCTCACCCCCGCCTCTCCCAACTTGCTCTCAGGTTTTCCTTCTCCTCCTCCCCACTCCTTGTCCCCACCTGCTTTCTTTATGTGCCCACACCAAATCTAGGCTGGGGAAATCCTTTAGTAAATACCATCGATGTTTTGATGGTATATGGTACATATAAAATATTTTGTTCAATTATTTTGACATATTTTCTTACAAATAATGACAAGAGTTTTACTTGAATTTTAGAGTCCATCACCAAACACTTAGCTTTGTCTCTGAGCAAAATCACTATTAAAGCCTCTCACCATTCTGCAGCTGTGACTGGCATATGAATAGAAGATTTTTAATGATGGTTTTCCATGTTCATGTTATTCTCTTATTGGCATACATGATTCCTTTTATTTCTTTTCACTCCAGCTGGACAAAATCCTTTCAGGAAGAAAAATCCTTTTCAAGGTTACCCTGTGTCTGTGGAAACATTGTTTTGTCTCTCTTGAAAAGTTTTAGACAGTTGTCACTTTCCCAACTATATTGTCTCTGAATTTTACTGAACAATGCTGCTCTCCGAGCTCAGCTAATAGACGTATCTAGGGCAAACAATTTTCTTTCCTATTCTAGCTCTCCATTGGAAACGTCATTGTGAAAGTTAGCTAGGAGAGACTTTCTTTCTGCTTTCTGACTTCATCCTGGGATTTTCAACTCTTAATAGAATTTATCTCCCTGGCTTGCACTGACACAGTCAAAAGTCAGATGCAACATAATGAAGCTTGACTTTGTTGTTAAGTGTCATCGAGGATGTTCTGACCCATAACCACCCTGTATAGGGTTTCTGAGGAGGAGCTGGTGAGCTTGAACTGCCGACCTTGCAGTTCACACCGACTTTGCAGTCCAGCATATTAACCCACAGCGCCACACCAGGACTCCAAGCTTGACTTGGGGAGATGGACAGGAGCAGGTGCTTGAGAGCCATCTAGTTAGACCTGATTTTAAATCTCAGTTTGCCCTGTAGCTTTGTGGCCCTGGGGATGCTATTTTCTGCCTCTAAGTGATGATGGTTGTTGTTATTAACTGCAGTCAATCAATTCTGAATCATTTCAGTCCTGTATAGAGTCTCGAGAAGTGGCTGGTGAGTTTGAACCACCGACCTTGTGGTTAGCAGTTCAATGCTTATCCTACAGAGCCACAGCAGGATTCCAAATGATGATGGCAGACCTCAACAAATGTGTGGGATTGATATTGAAGTCAAATGAGCTCTTGCAGTGCTGGGCACAGGGTTGAAACCTGAGCCAACCTTTCCCTTTGACTCTCTACCGTGTTTGTACACAGGTTGCCTGGGACCCTGGAATGGCGCAGATATTCAGAATGTTGCCTCTGCAGTCATTCTGCCTGGGCTTCTGGTCTCCTTCCACAGAGTGTCTGTGGACAGCTCTATTCATGACTCTGCTTCCTTATTTGTAAAATGTGGGTGATGGCATCTATCATATAGATTTTTGTTTTGTGGCAAAGATTAAATGAGTTCAACATAAAGTGCGTAAAGCTGGGAATGAATCATAAATTTCAGTATTAGGTCTTAAAAATGCTTTTCTTGCATGATCTATAAATGTCCAAATTTATTCCCATGGGATAATCAGTGAACATACCTCTGGTGAAATGTATCGATCAGACTTTGTCCTTGTTATCAATGATCACTTCCTCAAGAAATCCACACTTCTTTTTCTTCACCCTTCTAGGAAACTGGAGGACACCCATGTAGAAGTAACCTGAGTGCCCAACATCAGGAGCACAGTCATCAGTCCTGATGGGAATGTAAAAGTACCAAACTTACAACAAGCTGTCACAAAACCCCCGAGTCATTCACCCTGAGAGAGATTCTTAGGCCTCTGCCGGCAGCCCCGTGTTTCACGTGAACTTGTCAGAATGTATGAAATAGAGGTCAATTTGTAACTCAGACAGTTATTACTCCAAAGTGGCAAACACAAAAGGGTGAGACAGGACATTTTGGAAAAGCCCTGCGTGTATTCCAGTCACTGTCCCCAGCCATGAATGAGGGTCGATACCATAATAATTGAGGCAGGGGCACATAGATGCATCTGAGGCCCAGGCTCTGAGGGAATCTCCATTTTACCAAGAACTCAGCAGCCCAGCTTTTGATTTGAGGCTAATACCAGTGTCTGAGAACCTCCCGATAAAATAGCCCAGCACTGTCATTGATGGTCAGGGATCCTAGAGTTATCAGAAATTATGTTCAATGAATTCCAGTGGTCTTGACTATGGAGTACTTCATAGTCACTATAAAGAGCTGTGTTGTTTAAAGATATGTTTCAACATATCTGAATAAATACATTTATGGTTGCCACATATCCCAGTAACATTGGATGGATGGACCTTATTTTACTACGAATTGGTTCCATGTTTATTTTCATGCAAAGTTGGGCAAAGTTTATTTTACTATTCCTGACTTGAATTTTGAACATCTTAATCAACAGTGTTTCAGTGATGCCATGTTTTCCCCCCCACCAAACAGCTACAACTTCACCCTCCTTATAAAAGCCAGATGTAGTAGCTCTTGCCTGGCAGGGTGAGGTAGGGAAGAACAGTGAACAATAAATATGGGAATAAGAAACAGGAGACTCAATGTTTAGGAGCAAGTGATAAGCACCTTTCCCTTTCCCTGCCCGCTTTTCATCCTCTTAAGATGTTCCAGGCAAGGCAAGCTTCATGGCCATGTTACCTGTGTATTCACAAATGGTCTAGCCCTTGGTTTATGCTCTGCTGTCACACTCCTCAGATGCTTAATGCTTTTGAACAAAGAGCTTCACATTTCCATTTTGCAGTAGGCCCCATAAGAAATGCAGTCAGGCCTGATGAGACAATGGTCTGATTCCATGATTAAGACATGGAGCATAGCCTTATAGTAAAAGGTTAGGAATATGGTGAGATATGAAGGAGCTTAAAATCATGGAAAAATTCCATTATCTTTTAATTCCATTTTTCAGGAACTTTTTGAACCCCCCTCATACTTTTTTACATTTAATGAAGGCAAGAATGAGCCTGAAGCTGAGGTTGCAGTTTAACAAACATTTGGGTACACCGTATTTCTCAGCCTCTGTCCTTACAAATAGATGGGGTTGTGAACCTCATAAAGAGAGTGTCTCAACTTCTGTGCTTGGGGATACAGCTCAGTGTTGCTTTTGCATCCTGCTGGAGGTAGGAATACTGTACTACTCTCCTTTGCCCCATGTTCCACCCACTAACAATGAAGAACCTCATTTTCTGGCTTTCCATTGAATGATTCTTTCATGGCAGAGAATTTGATTGTTCAACTTCTAAACTCCAGGCTGCTTGTGTAGTTGTCATAAGAGCTCTGACCTTGCATGAGATCTGCTCCACACACCGGCTGTATAAGCAGTCTCTTTAGATCTTTGCAGCCACTTTAGTGTAAAAGGTCTGTTTTTTAATGGGAACCTGTAAGATTGTTACCTAGGGTGGTAGTGGTCTAGTGGTAGAAGTCTTGCTTTCCACGTGGGAAATGTAGATTTGATTCCCTGCCTATGTACCTCATGCACAGCCACTACCCTGCCAGTGGAGGTTAATGTATTGCTATGATGCCGAACAAGTTTCAAGCAGAACTTCCTAACGAAGGCAGACTAGGAAGAACAACCCAACAATTTACTTCCACAAATGAGCCAACAAAAACCCTATGGATCACAACAGTCCAACCTACAACTGATCATGGGGTGGGTGGCTTAGGACCAGGCAATGTTTCATTCCATTGTGCATGGGGGTTCACCTGACAGCACCCAACAACAGGACGAGTTGAGGGCCCATCTGATGACACCTAACAACAACGACAGGATTGGTAAACGTCTTGTGTCTTGGAAAAAGTAGTGCTTTCATGTTAGAAAGATTTAAAGATGAG